ATCCCCTCCGTCCCCTTCCCCTCCATCCCCTTCCCATCCCCTCTCCCCAGGTCCAAGGTGGACCAGGTCCACGACATCCTGACAGGGAACGCCACGGTGATCCGACTGGTGGTCAGCTTCTACCGCAACGCGCGGGGGCAGAACGCCCTGCGGCAGATCCTGGCCGGCCCTGTGCAGGAGGTGCTGCAGGACAAGACCCTCAGCATCCACACCAACCCCGTGGACATCTACAAGGCGTGGATCAACCAGACCGAGTCACAAAGCGGGCAGAGAAGGTCAGGCCCTGGACAAGGAGGTTCAGGGACCACAGAGCTATAGGATGGTGATGGAGACCTTGTCTTTTATCTGCAGCAACCTCCCCTACGAGGTCAGCCCCGAGCAGGCTCTGAGCCACCCTGAGGTCCAGAGGAGGTTGGATATTTCCATCCGCAACCTCCTTGCTGTGACGGACAAGTTCGTCTCTGCCATCACCTCCTCCGTAGACAAGATCCCGTAGGTATCCCCGGGGTTTGTGTGAGCCTTCCTGGGGCGCTGTTGGCTTGGAGGCTGAGAACGGCCCTGCAGCAGCTCCTCATCCCAGGGCTGGTGGATGGCTTGGAGGGATGGGGCAGGGTGGCCAAGCCTGGTGCTGTCCTGCACGCTCACGGACCCCTCCCTGCCCTCTCCTCAGCTACGGGATGCGCTACGTGGCCAAAATCCTCAGGACATCCCTGGCTGAGAAGTTCCCCGAGGCCTCGGAGGAGGAGGTTGACAAGGTGTGTGACCAAGGCTCAACCACGTGTGCACGCAGAGGGCCGGTGTCCCTCCACAGGGTCAAGTCTCTCAGGTCAGAGATAAGGAGGAAGTTCTTTACTGAGAGGGTCGTCAGAGGCTGGACCAGGCTGCCCAGGGAGGTGGTGGAGTCCCCATCCCTGGATGTGTTTAAGGAGCGGGTAGATGAGGTACTTAGGGATATGGTTTAGGGGGGAGACAGGAACGGTTGGACGTGATGATCTCAGAGGGCTTTTCCAACCGAGCCATTCTGTGATTCTGTGAAGTCCTGTTGATTTAAATGCCTCCACATCAACATCTTCATTGAGCCACCAAGGCAATGCCAATGGTGGGCTCTGCTTTGCGGTGTTGTCCCCTCCGGGAGGGTCCCACCAAGCTTTACAAGGTCAAAAACTTCCCTCCACGAGCTCTTATCTTGCACCCTAGGCCGTGGGGCACCTCCTCTATTACCGCTTCATGAACCCGGCAGTGGTGGCCCCCGACGGCTTCGACATTGTGGACGTTTCGGCGGGGGCCGCTCTGCACCCCAACCAGCGCCGCAGCCTGGGCTCCATCGCCAAAGTGCTGCAGCACGCGGCCGCCCGCAAAACCTTCACTGAGGAGAACACGCACCTCTGCGGGGTGAACCGCTACCTGCAGGACACCCACCACCGGTTCAGGTGGGGCAGCGGGCTGGGAAAGGGTGGCTTTTGAGCCTGTTTTTGGGGCTGACCGAGAGGGTCCTTCCTCACAGGAGGTTCATCGCTGCCGCTTGCTGCGTCCCGGAGCCGGAGGAGAGGTTTAACATGGACGAGTACTCGGAGCTGGTGGCGGTGGCCAAGCCGGTGATTTACATCACGGTGGGGGAGCTCATCAACACGCACAAGGTGAGGGTGTAAAACCCACCTGCAAACGAGCAGGGTCCATCCCTTCTGCTCCCACCTGGGTTTTCTTCTGCATTTTATCGTGCTCCTCTCTATCCACCACCACCTGGCTCTTCCTGGGCTGTTCTCCCCCTTTTTAAGCAAGAAAACACTCCCAGTTCTCCAGGTTCTCCCCTGCTCGCCCTTCCTTACGCCTCATAACTTTGCCATCCCCTCTTGAGTGCCGTAGCTGTTGCGTTGTTCCCATCTAGGAGGGATAGAACAAGAGGTAACAGCACCAAGCGGTGCCAAGGGAGGTTCAGGTTAGAGATAAGGAGGAAGTTCTGTACTGAGAGGGTCGTCAGAAGCTGGACCAGGCTGCCCAGGGAGGTGGTGGAGTCCCCATCCCTGGATGTGTTTCAAGAGTGAGTAGATGAGGTACTTAGGGATATGGTTTAGGGGGTAGACAGGAGCAGTTGGACATGGTGAATTCAGAGGTCTTATCCAACCGAGTGACTCTGTGATTCTGTGATCTGATCTCCCCGTCTCTTTGCCGCTGCTTCCCCTCCCTTGCACCTCCCAGCTCCTGCTGGAGCACCAGGACTCCATCGCGCCGCAGCACGGAGACCCCTTGCACGAGCTCCTGGAAGACCTGGACGAGCTCCCGACGGTGCCGTCCCTCGTGGGTAGGTAGAGCCCAGCACCCACCTCGGCAAGATCCACCCGTGGGGATGCTCTTCTCACCCCAGGCTCTCCCTGGGTGGCTTTGGGCATGGGGAAGCCCCCTCTCCCCAGCCTCCTGTGGCTACCAGGGCTCTGTGTCCTCTCAGGGGAGAGTGTTCAGAGCCTGGCGGATGGAGAGCAGGGGATCTCCCAGCTCAGCAGAATGGAAATCTCCCTCACCCTCACCAGCAAACTGATGCCGGCGGCCAACAGCGAGGAGAGCGATGGCAGGAGCTTGCTGCTGAGGTGAGGACAGGGGCTGCGGGTTTCGGGGGTCTTTATGAGCCATTCAGGTTCAAAAAAACCTCCAGGATCACCCAGTCCAGCATCAACCCAGCCCCACCATGGCCATAAACTGTGGCCCCAGGTGCCACATCCACGTGGTTTTTGGACCCCTCCAGGGGTGGGGGCTCCACCACTGCCCTGGGCAGCCCCTGCCAGGGCTTGACAACCCTTTCAGTGAAGAAATTCCTCCCAAAATCCAACCTCACCCTCCCCTGGCACAACTTGAGGCCATTTCCTCTCGTCCCATCACTTGTTTTTTGGGAGCAGAGACAATTCCCCCTCTCTACCCCCTCCTTTCAGGAGCTGCAGAGGGGATAAGGTCTCCCCTCAGCTCCTCTTCTCCAGTTGAACCCCCAGCTCCCTCAGCAGCTCCCCATCATTCGGCTGCTCCAGAAAAAAACCCCAGACCCCTCCCCAGCTCTGTTGCCCTTCTCTGCCCACGCTCCAGCCCCTCAATGTCCTTCTGGGAGTCAGGGGCCCAAAACTGAACACATCCTGGGGTTGGGATGCTCAAGAGGGGCAAGAAAACCTTGGGAGGCAACTAAATAATGTGAGGCAGTGGTGGAGGGGACCACCTGAGCCCTCTCTCTGGTCTGCAGCACCAAGCAGATGCTGGTGGACGTGATCCAGGCGCAGGCAGGGGATTCCCTCATGGAGATCCTGCGGACGCAGGCGTCGGAGCAGGAGGTGGGGAGCGCGCGGAGGCGGCTGGGGATGAGCTCAAGAAATGAGAATCACAGAGTGGTTTTGGTTGGGAAAGGGCTTTAAGGTCATCGAGTCCAACCTTTGAACCAACTAAACCAGGTCCTTAAGCACGACGTCTCTCCGTTGTTTAAACACCTCCAGGGATGGTCAAGAGAGGAGCAGATGTCGTATTTAGGGGAAATTATTGAGGGAAAAAAAAAAAAGCCATGAGCAGGAAGCTGCCCTGCTCCTCTCTAAGGCTTGCCCACTGCTCTTATGCTTTTTATTTTGGAGAAATCCCTTTTATTTTGGCCAGGAGAGGCTCCCATCCAAGCACGTAGGGGTCTGATCGCTGCACCCCCCCATCCCGCTGCAGTTCTCCCCCCTTTCTCACCCCCAGGAAGCCTCCCACGACCTCCTCATGTGCCGGCGGGCGCTGCGGGGCGCCCGGACCCCCGCCACCCTGTGGCGCCCGCGCTCGGCGGCCGCCCCGCCGACAGCCGCCTGTCCCTGGAGGAGAAGAAACGCAAGATCATCCGCAACCTGCGGCGCTTGGAGAGCCTGGGGCTGCTGGACCCTGCCCATCAACACCAGCAGCTGCTGGACGAGCTGGCCAAGGTGTGGTGGGGAAACTGAGTCAGGGCACGGCCTCCCAAGACTCGGGATGGATGTAGTTTATCTGGACTTCAGCAAAG